CGCAGGTGAGCTGGGCTGCTGTCAGCAGCCAGACTGCGGCCCCCCCCACATGCTGATGCCGCTGCTGCGACCGGACAAAGGTTGCAAAGTCCCTGATAACCCGAGAAAATTGGCAGATTCTGTCCTTGGACACCCAGACCTTTTGCCGTTACAGCTGCCGCTGCCGACCCCTCACCCATCCATCCCGTGCTGCACCCAGCCGCCGGCGGCGCCCACCTTGGGGCCCACGTCTGGGTTGGCAAGCGCTGTGTCCACCACCTTCCGGGTGTACTCCTCCGACTGATGGCGCGGGGGTGGGGAGGCAGGGAGGGAGCGCAGTTGGGGCGGGAGGCAGGGGCGACAGAGGACTGGCAGGCGGGCGGGCGCTGCGCGGCGGAAGGCCAACCAATGAATCATTCCCGGCGATGCGCAGCATGGCGGGCTGGAGAGCTTGAGCCTTGCCTTGGCGTAGAACGGCATGTGCTCTGGCTTGTAGGGGGTACTGCCCTGGCCGGGGCCGTCGAAGATGAGCAGGCTGCGGGGTGGGGGCAGGGAGGCGGAGGAAGGGTGAGGGGAGGCAACGTGGCGTGGCGCGCAGCGGTGTAACAGCACAGCGCAGCACAGCACAGCACAGCACAGCATGCTGCATAGTCGGTGTGCACGGTCAAGCGGGGCGCCGAAGGAAGGCAGGGGAAACGGGCAGCGGGGCGCCAGCCTGCCTCCACACACCTGTAGTTCTGCTGCACCAGGGGCGGGCCGTACCTGTGCGCACACAGCCGCAGCCAGGCGGGCGAGGGGTCATTGGGCGCGCGGGCCTGACGGTACCACACGCCACGCCACACCGCGCCACATCACACCACGCGACATCACACCGGCCACACACCACCACACCACATCACACCACGCGACACCGCTCCGCACCAGTGCACCGCAGTACTGCACCCCAGAGTGGTGGCCTGCCCCAGCCGACCCCCCACTGCCACAGCCTCAGCACCCTCCCTAGGCCCGGGCCCCACACTCGCCAGGCCAGCGGCCGCAGGCCGCTTGCAACCCCTCCTCACCAGCTGTACATTGCCTCCTTGGGCGTGTCTGTTCCCAGGATGAAGACGATGACGGGCAGCGCCCTGGAGGGGTCGGGTGTGATGAACTCAGCTGACAGGGAGGTGGTGACTGTGCCGGTGTTGAAAGGGACCTGGCGGAGAGGAGCGGGTGGAGGGGCGGCGAGGGGTGTGCAGGAGGTCAGGCGAGCGGCAGGTGCGGCAGGAAGCAAGGCCGGGCGGCGGCGGCGGCGGCGGGCGGCGGCGCTCGCCCCGCGTGCCTCCCCCACGTCCCTCCGCCAAGCACCCCCTCCCCTGGACGCACTACCACCTTGTGCCGCACGCCGCGCGCAGCAGGGACACACACGCCACCCACGCCGCCACCTGGAATGCAGTAACCTTAAAGGCTGTTATGTCCCGCGCGGTGCGCCACGCCCAGGAACCGCGCACCCACCCCTACCAGTACCGCCTAGCCCGCCTATCAGCGCCCTCACCCCACGCTACGCACCTCAAACGCTGTCGAGTCCAGCCCCGCCAGCCCCAGATACTCCTCAAACGCCTCCTGCCCCTTCCCCAGCTGCTCCTCCACCCCCAGTGCTGCCGGGTACGGCCAGAAGGACATGACATAGAAGTTCATGGCTCGAAACAGAGCCCCCGCACGGTAGGAGGGAAGCCAGGCGGTGGCAGGGTCCCGCGCCAGCGCTGCCAGCCGGTCGCCCTGCGGGGGGTGGGGGGTGGGGAGGCGGTGTGGTGGTGTTGCGTGAGGTGCGGTGTGGTGTGGTGCGGCGTGTGGGGAGCGGGGAGGGCGCAGCGAAAGGCAGGGGAGGCGGGTGGTGGTGGTGGTGCTTGCTTTGATTTTGTCCTTCGTTGTGATGGCGGCGGGGCGGCGCATAGCGAGGCGTGCGGGCGCCGTCGGCGGCTAGCGGCCGTCGGCGGCAGCCCGCCAGCCAGCACCGCGCGCCGCAGGCCTCGCCATGCACCCCTGGTGCAGGCGCCCCGGCCCCAGCCCCTGCCCCCCCCTCCCCCAACCTGCGCCACCATGGCCTCGCTCCAGGCTCCATACACGTTCTCCACGGTGGCATCCTCTGCAGTGACGTTGGCCCAGGCGGCGTTGATCTGGGAGGCCACGTACTGGACTGCAGGGGTGGGGGTGAGGGTGGGGTGGTGGGTGGAGCGGGGGCTGGCCCGCCAGGTTAAGTGCCGGTGATGGGCACGGCAGGTGGCTCAGGTGGCTGGATGGCTGAGGCGAAGCAGCCGAGGGACCAGCGGTGTGGCGGGCGGGGACGGCGGGATGGAGGGAGGGAGGAGCCGCGGCTGCGCCGTCGGCATGGCTGCAGCACAACTGCCAGCCGGCGCGCGCAGAGGTGGTGTGCGGCTGGGCTCACCCTCCCCGTAGTCTGCGCCGCCCCAGGGCGCGGAGGAGAGCAGGGCCTGGAAGTTGTAGTTGGACCAAGAGGTCTGCTTGTCGAACCAGGAGCCCACGTCCTGGAAGGGGCGGGGGGCCTGCAGGCCGGATGGCGGCGGCGGCGGCGGCGGGCTCGGGATGCACAGAGTGCAGCATGATGCAGCGGCAGGGGCGAGCTGCCTTGTGCGGCTGCGGTGCCGCTGGGCTGTGCAGCAGGTCGAGTGGGCAGCCTGTTGCAAAACAGAGGGCGCAGGCTCCTGCGTGGTACCAGGGTGGCCAAGCGGCGGCGGCGCCCGAAAAGATCCACCCCGCGCCCCGTGCTGCTGCCCCGTGCCCCGCGCGCTGGCAGGGCCCTGCGGGGACGCGCAGCAGCCGCAATCGCTCACGATAGACTCCATGCCCTCCAAAAGCAGCTCAGCCATCTGCGGGTCGGTGCTAGTATACTGCTCCAACACCCATTCCTGCGCCTCAATCGCCTGCAGGCACGCCTCGGAGGCGTTCTGGGCACAGGCCCTGGCCGCCAGCAGCAACACCAGGGCCACGCGCCCCCGCATGTCAGAGATTTGGTAGAGCGCAGTGCTGGGGCCTGGCGTGCTGGTTGCTCAGCAAGCTGACACTGCGGGGAGCAGCGTCTTTTGTGGGACAGCAGGCGCCTTAGGACTGGGACAGCAGGCAAGGCGCAGCGGGACTGAGGTAGTGAACGGCAAGTGCACGGTTCATCCATCTCTCGGGTGATGGCTCCTGTGTCAGTCCGTGCCCGTGGGCCCCCCTTGAGACTGCAAGGGCATCCCGACCGGAACTGGTTTGAGCCTCGCCGTGACAGGGCCAGCCGCCCGCCAGAGCTGGCGCCAGTGGCGAGCGGTGGCAAACGGCATTTTGCCCAGCAGGGTTTGTGCAGGAACGGCATCCCTGGTATGATGTGATTAATAAGGTGGGTAGAACCTTTGCGGGCCTCATCGACTTGCACAACATGGCACACGCTTGCTCTTGCCCACAGCCGCTGGCGGCGGGCAGCGGGTCTCTGCTCCCTGTCCAGCAACAGAACAATACGCATTTTGGCGCCTGGGTGGCAATATGGCAGGCATGTGTATCATCCCAGCCTGCTGGAGGACGTCCGTAGCCCTTCCCGCCGGTCCTCAGCGCCCTCCTGCTTTGCCCTCTCATAGCACGCGCGGTTGTAGAACCATTGCACGCGCCAGCCGCTCCACCCTCTCACTCCTTGCCTCGCATCTGACACTCAGGCTCCATCCCGCCGCCATGCAGACAGTGTCACTTTCACACTCGAGACTAAACACCCACTTCACCACCACAGCTCGCCGCGTTACGAGCCCCTGCATCGCCCCGGCGCGGCCCCAGCAGCGGCGCGGCGGCCGGGCGGCGCAACAGCTGCTGCGGGCGCGCGCAGAGGTGCAGCAGGCGCCGGCGGCGGCACCGGCTGCTCAGCAGTCTGTCGACTCTGACGGCGAGGAGCGCGTGCCCCCTGGCTGCGCCCGCTACACCGTGGAGCTGCCCAAGCCGCTGGGGCTGGTGCTGGAGGAGGGGAAGAGCGGGCGGGGCGTGTACGTGGTGAGTCGCAGGCAGGCGGCACGCTGGGTGCCGCCGCCGCCGCCGCCGCCGCCGCCGCCGCCGCTGCGGTGCCGCCCAGCCTGCCGTCCTGCCCTCGATCCGGCAGCTGGACAGCAGCCGCTGCACTGCACTCCCTCGCTCGCCCGTGCTCCCTGGGCACAACCCCAACACCGCTGCCCTGGCCCGCCCTGGTCCCCCCACCCCGCAACCCCGCAGGCGGAGGTGGTGCCCGACAGCAACGCCGCGCGGCTGGCCCCGCAGATCGGCGTGGGCGACGAGCTGGTGGCCACCACGGGCATGACGTACACCACGGCGCAGGAGTACCAGGGCAACACTGTCCGGGGAGGTGGGCGGCGGCCGCCTGCGCGCACGCGCGTGTGTGTGTGTCTGTGTGTATGGTGCTGTGTGGTGGCGGTTGGTGGGCGGGTGGGCTGCTGCAGCGCAGCCAGCGGGGCCTGCGTTCCTGCTGCCGGCGACAGCCCAGGCCTGCCGCCTGGGCGCTCAGCCCTGCGGCAGGAGCTGCTGCCGCCGCCTGCTGTCGCCCTCCTTCCTCCCGCCCCTCGCTCACCTCCCTGAACGTCCCCTGCCACCCCCCCCCCCCCACACACACATTGCTGCAGGCGAGACGTACGTGCGCCTCAACGTGCGCAACAACACCTTCTCCACGGTAATGGCCGCCATTGGCTCCGTCAAGCCGCCCCGCCTGGTCACCCTCGAGTTCCAGCGCTGCGATTAGAGGCGCGCAGCGCATCACGCGCAACGCATCACGCGCAACGTGCCAGTAGGCGCGCACAGCGCGCCCACGCCCGAGTTGCTTGCTGGCCCCGGAGCGCGGCGTGGCAGGAAGGTGCGCTCGCCGCACGGCGGTGTCCCGCCCATCTGTCTGCGGCAGCGTGCCCGCTGGCGGCCGGCGCGGGGCCGGGGCACGGCGCCAGCATCGCCGGCCCGGCGAACCAGGCACAGGCAGGCAGGCCGCGGTGGCCCGCGACTCGCGGCGGCTGCTGCGCAGCAGCTCCCCTTGTATTGTTTAATTCTTTCTGTTCGGTTCCATCACAGTTTGTTTCATCACAGTTTGTTTCATTGCAGTTTGTTTTGCCATATCCATCCCAACCAAATCCATGGCCAAATTGATGCTTCGTCTCATCCGCCAGGGCTCCCGCAGAGCCCTGTGATTTATCAGTTTGCCAAGTCCAAAGCTCTTGTAATCCTGTATACGTGCGCTCACGTGTCAACGCTACCCACCAGGCCAAGTCGCAGGGTTGGGGTGCCCTGCCGGGCTGGCCAGGCTGCGGCTCACTGCCGGCAGCCGACCTGGTCCCGGCTCTCGCCTACCAGCGTGGGGTTGGCACACAGGCGCTTGGCATCCTCGCTGCAGCGGTGCAGGCGGAGGGGGCAGGCGGGCAGCAGGGTAGCACAGGCATCAGCCACCCAGGGCTTGCAAGCAGGGAACTCTCTCTGGCCAGACACCCGGGCGCAAAACCCTTTGCCTCCAGTGCTCTCGGCCCGCCGCACAGCCCCCCCGGCATGGCTCACACCCGCGCCCAGCCCCACCTGCCAATCAGCGCGTCCTCAAAGTTGGCATCCTTCAGGTTGGCGCCTGTAAAGGTGGTGCCTGCGGGGCAGGGAAGCGGAGCGAGAGCGGGAGCGGGAGCAGGGTGGCACAGGGTGGCACAGGGTGACACCCATGTGATGAAGCCGATCGCGCAGCTCGGCATGCACAGGCGCTGGTCAGGGTGCCGCCACGATTTCCCCCCCTCCCCACCCCTCTCGCTCACCACACCCAGCCAGACCACCCACCCACCCACCCGTGATCACTGCGTTGACCAGCTGGGCCCCTTCCAGGTCCACGCCATCAAACGCCACACGGTCAATCACCGCATTGGTCAGGTCGGCGCCTGCGGTTCATCGCGGCAGAGAGGGTGAGGGTATGTGTGTATGTTCGGGCTGCTGGGCATGTGCAAGGGGAGGGGGCTGCGTGGGGGAGCAGGCGGCGGCAGGCAAATGCCAGTGCCCGTGCTGTAGTGCACGTCCGGGATGGCTTCCAGCTGGCCCGGCCACCCCCGCACAGGCACCCCACCCTCACCCCTCAGGTTTGCTCCAACCGCGTACGCCTTGGTCAGCACCACCTCCCGCATGTTGGCCCCACTCATGTCGGCCTCGTTCATGTATGCGCCTGGGGGTGGGCAGGGTGGTGGGGTGGGCAGCCAGGGGTGACGCACGCACAGCGCAGCAGAGCACCCGCTGCACCCGCGGCAGCCCGCGCGTCCGGCATTGGCTTGCTGCTCCCCGCCTCCCACACTGCTTCACCCGGTTTTACGCCCCCAGGCGGTGCCAGCCCCGCGCCTCACCCGACAGCGTCTTGCCGCTCAGGTTGGCCCCCGCAAACTTGCAGAAGCGCAGGTCAAGGGCTTTGTTGGACACGGCATTGGCCTGGCCGATGGTGTTGCCCACAAAGCCGCGGTCGCAGCGGTTGGGGTCTGCGCGGCGGGCCAGGGGAGGGGAGGGGAGAGGATTGGGGTCACGGCGAGCGGGCGGCGGCAGCCAGGCGGGGCCTTGCAGCCGCGGCTGCGTGCTCAGCGGGCCGCAAACTTGAGATCGCGGCGGGTGCCATGTCGTTCCGGCGGCTGCTCTCCCTCTCCCCTGGCCAGGCTGGCCGCCGCACCATTGTCCAGGGGCGGCAGCCTGACTTCGGCAGTGGCGGGGCCCGCCGACAGCGCCAGTGCCGCGCTCGCCGCCAGGCTCAGCAGCACGCTGGCGGCGCGGTGCTGTTGCGCTGGCTCCTCGCTGCGAGATGCGGCTGCAGTGTGCGGAAGGGGGAGGGTAAGCGGTGGTTTTCTGGAGCGAGGGGCTCCCACATGTGGTGTGGGTGCTTGGACAGGCTGCAAGCGGGGGCGCACCTTTGACTACGAGGCCCCTCCTGCCCTTGCAGGGTGTCGAGATGCCGCCCACGAAGGGTGCCCGGCACTGCATTACTTGGCACGCCATTGCTATTGGAGGGCAGCGCGGGCTGGTCGTAGGAGCGAGGTCGTTGCAGGCACGGAGCGATGGCGATCGCCTACAGGCGCTGGCTGGAGAAGGACTCTCAGAACATAGCACGCTCCTCATGCCTGGCTCTGAAATTTCTCTGCACTTACCTGCACGTCCCACCGCTCCACTCACGCGTTACAAACATCGCCCGCTCCCACTGTAACGCGCCGCTGCCTCCGCAGCGAGCCCCGAGTGATCGCCTGCGCCTGTTTGAGCCTGCCTGCCCAGGATGCGCCTCGACGGGCGTGACTAGGACCCCACCAGCGAGGCAGCCCCGGGCACCGGCCCAGGTCTCGCCACTGGCAGGCCGCCTGCCGCCGCCGCCGCTTGCAGCTGGCGTCAGCCGCCACCAGCCGCCGCCATGCCCAACTACACCATAGGCGGCTGCCAGGTGCACTTCCCGCACAAGGCCTACGGCGTGCAGCTGAGTTTCATGAACAAGGTCATCGCGGCGCTGGAGGGCGGGCACAACGCGCTGCTCGAGGCGCCTACCGGTGCGGCGGGGGTGCTGCAGGCTGCTGGCGGCAGAGGGTGCAACCCGCGGTAGCTATGTTCCCGCCGTGCCTGTCCCTCCTGCCCTATTGCTTGCAATTCACACCCAGGTGCATGAGGCAGCAAGCGCTCAAGAGCTGTCTCCACCCCTGCTGCCGCCCTCCCTGCCCCGCAGGCTCCGGCAAGACGCTGTCGCTGCTGTGCTCAGCGCTAGCCTGGCAGGTGCGGGAGAAGCAGCGCATAGAGGAGGGGCTGGCGGCGGAGAAGGCGGCGGCAGCAGAAGCCGCTGCAGGGGGCGGCGACCCCGCCGCTGCCGCCATGGGCGAGGCGGGGCAGGGCCCGCCTTGCCCCCTTGGCGGATCGGCAGGCTGCGCACACGTGAGGCTGCCTGCTGCCTGCCCCCTGCTCCCTGCTCCCCGCCTGCTTGTCTCTGAATGCATGCACGTACAGAGCGGGCTTGATGGCAGCTGGGTGCTGCATCGCACGCTGCCGCACTACTGCCCCCGCCCTTACCCTCCACAAGCACTGCGCCCCCAGCGCCCCCGCCCCGCCCCTGCCACGCCTGCAGCCGGGTAGCAGCAGCGGCTGCGGCCCCTCGGCCGCCGCCGAGGCCGGGGCTGGCGACGGCGGCTTCATGGCTGACGCCGCGGCGCAGGAGGCGCCGGCGCCCCGCCGCAAGCCCCCCAAGATCTTCTACGCCACACGCACCCACTCCCAGATTGCGCAGGCAAGACGGCGGGGCGGTTTGGTTTCGGGGGGAGGCGGCGGTGTACTGGGTGGGGGTGGCGGAGCTGGCGCCGTGGTGGGTCCGGCTGCAGGGTGCCAGAGGTTGCAGCCCGCTGCCCTCATTCAATACACACCTGGCAACTGCATGCACCCACCGCCTGCCCTGCCTGCCTGCCCTGCCTGCCTGCAGGTGGTGAAGGAGCTCAAGCGGTGCGAGTACAAGCCCCGCATGGCGGTACTGGTGGGCGCCTGCCGCCGCGGCTGCTGCCGCCACCGCCGCTGCTGCTGCCGCTGCTGCCTGCCTGTGGGTTCCAGCTATGAACCGCTCGGCTCCTGGCTCGCCAGCACCGGGCCTGTCACACCTCGCCACCACCCGCACCACCTACCGCCATACCAACAACACACACACTCATTCACCCCCTCAGGGCTCCCGCAAGCACTACTGCATCAACCAGCACGCCACGCGGCAGGGCAGCATCGACGAGGCGTGCGAGGAGCTGCTGAAGGAGAGCCAGGTGGGCGCAGGGGGCTGTTGTGGGCGCAAGGGACTAAGGTGTGGGGCTGGTGTGCAGGGGGTTCGGTCGGTGCCCGCCCGCCTCCCTTGCCCCGGAACTAGCCCCGTCCTCCTGCCAGCCCCGCGTGCCCACACCGCTGCCACCAGGCGCGTGCCAACACCTCCGTGCCCCCTGTACCGGCCCCGTGGTACCGCCCGCAGTGCCAGTACTTCAAGAACGTGCACTCCTTTGTGTCCTCGGGCTTCCAGTACCGCCTGCACGACATCGAGGACCTGAAGGGCATGGGCCGCTCCAACAAGGCCTGCCCCTACTACACCGCCCGCAAGTGGGCCGACGTGAGCGGCCCTGGGCTGAGCTGGGCCGGGCGGGGGCTTCCTGTCGCTTGTCGTTGTGCGGCGGTGGGGACAGGGGTCTGGGCGGGGGTTGGGGCAGGGCAGCGGCCACTTGCCACCCCAGCTGCGTGCTTTCCGTCCTGCCCGCACACCCGCCCGCCTACCTGCCTACCTGCACCGCCCACAGCACCGCTGCTCACACACACACCCCTTGGCACACCCTGCAGGAGGCGGAGGTCATCTTTGCGCCCTACTCGTACCTCATCGACCCGGTCATCCGCAGGGCCATGGCTGTGGGTGAGCGCGGTGCTGGGGAGGGGGGATGGAGGGCAGAGCGGGGGGGGCCCAGGGGATGGCGGTGGTGTGGTGGTGGCGGTGGCAGTGGTGGTGGCGGCGGCAGTGGACTGGCAGGAGGCAGCATCGGCAGGTTGATGCGGGAACTGCAGTGCACGCGCCGGTGCCTCCCTAAACCAGCACCCGCCCCTCTGCCCCTTCCTCACCACTTGCCCCGCCCTCCCCCGCAGACGTGGAGGGCTGCATGCTGGTCTTTGACGAGGCTCACAACATGGAGGATGTGTGCCGGGAGGCGGCATCCACAGAGGTGGACCTGGCCACCATGGCAGAGGTGTGTGTGTGTGTGGTGTGTGGTGTGTGGTGTGGTGGTGTGTGGTGTGTGGTGTGGGGCTGCGTGGAGGGGATGCGTGGGGCACAGTGCGAGGTGTGTGGTGTGTGGTGTGTGACGATGTGTCGGCCGCGGCGCTGGGCATGTGGCGGAGGATGGACTGGCCGCCGCGGAGCACCCTACCGCGGCATGCCCCACAGTGCGGGCCCTGCCCTGTCCACGCCCTCCCTCCCTCTATATCTGCGCCCAGGTGCTCGGCTGCTTCCAAAAGGCGCACGACCTCAACGGCAGGCAGGAAGTGTATGGGCCGTTGGTCGGCTGCGCCAGAGCGGTGGTGGCGTGGATGGAGGTGAGGGCTGGAGGGTGGTTAGTGCGGGGCCGGTGGCGGGCAGGGGCTGCCGCTGCGGTACGGCTGCAGTCGCTTGCCTTCTGCCCCGCCCGCCTGACCTCTGTTCAGCGGCCTGCCCCGCCTGCCCCGCTCCGTCATGCACCACTGCTTGCTGTCCTGCTTTCCCCCTGACCGCAGGACAAGCAGCGCGCGGCGGCGCGGCAGATGCAGCAGCAGGCGCAGCGCGGCGGCGGCGGCGGCGGCGGCGGGCGCGGCGGCGGCAGGCAGGCGGCCCGCTACCAGGACGCCTACGAGCGTATGTTCCCTGCCAAGGAGGTGTGTGGCCTGGCCTGGCCTGGCCTGGGGGTGCTGTGCCAGCTGCCACCCGCCGCCGCTCCCAAGCTTCCGCTGCACACTGCGCAGCGTGGATCAGTCGTGTGGTGCCTCCCTCCCTCCCCTGCCTGCCTGCCTGCAGATGCTGGGTGAGCTGTCTGCCTGCGGGCTGGGCCCCGACGCAGTGGATGCGCTGTGGGAGGCGTACCAGCTGGCGAGGGAGGAGGAGGAGGCGATGGGGCAGGCGGCGGCAGCGGGTGGGGGCGGTCCACTGGGCGGCAGCAGCGGAGGAGGCAACAAGGAGAACCAGCAGGGCGGGGTGAGCTGGCACAGCCGCAGGGCAGGCAGCCCGCTGGGGCAGGGAGCCTTGCATGCGGGCTTGGCGGCAGAGGTCCCATGCAGCAGTGGCCTGCTGGACCGTGGCGGCTGCCGCGCTCGCTGCGCCGCACACGCCGCTCGACGCCCACGCCCCGACCCTCGCCCGCCTGCCTGCGCTCGCCGTAACCCGCTGCCGCAGGAGAGCGCCGCCACCGGCCCCAAGACTGGCGCGGCTGTGCGGGTGGGTGCCATGGCGCTGGGCGTCATGTCGCGACTCATCCAGGTCGTGCGCATGCTGCACCAGGTGTGTGTGTGTGTGGGTGTGTGGGATTGGGTGTGTGGATGAGTGGGCTGCAGCGTGGGAGGTGCGGGTGCCCGCTCAACGCCTTGTCACCGGCCGGCCCAGCACACGAGCCTTTTGGCCTGTAAAATGCTGTGCCTGTTCCGCCGCCACGTCATTCTCCATGCTGCCTCTGTTTCCCTGTGCCCCCGTGCCCCCACCTCCCGCCGACTGCCTGCCGTGCGCGTCCCTCTCCCTCCCCCTCTCCCACCCCTCCCCATCCGAGCAGGGCAGCGACGATGGCGCCCGCGACTATCGCCTGGTGGTGCAGCGCTACTACGAGAACAGCCCCACCCTGGCCATGGGCCGCTACAAGAGCAGGTGCGCGGGGCGGGGTGTGTTTGTGTGTGGTGGGGGGGGAGTAGGGTAGAGGCGGGGTGGAGGCGGCGGCTGGCCTGCGTCCGGTGGCTGCTTGGCAGGCGGGGTGTATGGCTGGCCCCATCCGGCCTGCTGTGCCGCTGCTGCACACCAATAGCTACTAGCTCCGCCTCTGCCCGCACTTTCTTTTGCGTTCCGATTCTCCGCCCTGCCAACCAGCAACCCGTTCCGTCTCCCCGCAGAGGCGGCGGCGGCGGTGGTGGCGGCGGCGGCGACGATGACTCCTTCCTGCCCGGCTTTGCTTTCAAGATGTGCCTGTGGTGCATGAACCCCGCGGTGGCCTTCCGCCCGGTGGCCCAGGCCGCGCACAGCGTGGTGCTGACCAGCGGCACGCTGGCGCCGCTGGAGGGGTTTGCCTCGGAGGTGGGAAGGGCGGCGGGGCCGCGAGTGGGCAGCGCTGTGCGGGAGGGTGCACGCTGTGTGGGAGGGTGGGGCCGCGCTTGGTCGGCGGAGGGCGCTGCAGGAGCTGGTGGCAGCCAGCGACTGGCAGCAGGGCCCAGCCTAGTAACCGGCCTGGCGCGGCCGCCCGTCGACCCTGCCGTGCCGCCCGTGTGCGCCCTCTGCCCGCCCCCACTGCAGCTGGGCACCCCCTTTGCCATCACCCTGGAGGCGCCACATGTGGTGGACATGCGGCGGCAAGTGTGGGCGGGCGTGGTGGGCGCGGGGCCCGGCGGCACCCCACTCAACGTGAGCCCCCCCTGCCCGGCTGCCGCTGCGCTCAGGTTGCCGCCGCCGCCGCGCCGCGTGTCGCTGCTGCCGGGATGCTGCCACCGCGCTGCCCTCGAGTGGCTTTTGTGGCTCGTAATGCTACACGGGTGCTCGAGCCTGCCTTCCCACACCAGACACAATCTTGTGATTGCAAATTACAAACTGCCGTTTGTGCTGCACACACACACCTGCCCCCCCCCTCCACCCACCCAACACACACACACACACTCCCCATCCCCGCCTCCACTAAAAATCTGCACCACAGGCCACGTGGAAGAACCAGAACGAGGCTGGGTTCCAGGACGGCGTGGGGCGGCTGATCCTGGAGGGCGCCGCCTCCATACCGGACGGACTCCTCGTCTTCCTGCCCTCCTACGTGCTCCTGGACAAGCTGATGGCAAGGTGGAAGGTGGGTGGGTGGGCGGGTGACGGGGGTGGCGCAGTGTGGGCACGTGGTGGCGGCATGGCTTCCTGGTGGGTTGTGTTGTGGCATGTGCTGCATGTGTGCTGCATGGGGCGGGCAGTATTGGAGGAGAGGCGGGAGCACGTGGCTGCAGCCGCGCGCGGCAGGACCTTGCAGGTGACCTGTGCCTGCGCTCGCTCCCCGCCGCTGCCGCCCTGCAGTTCTCGGGCCTGCTGGCGCAGTTGGAGGCCCTCAAGAAAGTGGTGCAGGTGGGCTCCACCTGACTGCTGCTTGCCGGCCTGCTTGGGCACTGCCTGCACGCCACCTGCCGCCGCCTGCGCTGCATGATCTGCCGACCCGCTGCGCCCCTGCTTTCGGCTGTGTGTGCATGTGCGTGTGCGCGTGCGTGTGGCAGGAGCCGCGCGGCGGCGGCCAGGATGCGCTGAAGAAGACGATGCAGGAGTACTACGCCGCCATCCAGGCGGGGGGCGGGGCCGCCTTCTTCGCAGTCTGCCGCGGCAAGGTGGGCGCCGGCTGGGCGCTGCCGGGTGGTCGGGCACGGAGCGCGGTGGGGCCTGCCGGGGGCTGCCGGCGGGTGCTGTGCCCGCTCGTATCCTGGCCGCCGGACTCCATCCAGCCTGCCTCCCCATGCCGGTGCACCCCGCACCCCCTGCCCCTGCGCCACCTGCCTCCCTGCCTGGCCCCGCAGGTGTCTGAGGGCCTGGACTTTGCCGACGGCAATGCTCGGGGCGTGATCATCGTGGGCATCCCCTTCCCCGCCGCCAAGGATCTCAAGGTTGGCGGGGCTGTGGTGTTGGGTGGTTTGGCGATGGGGTGGTGTGGTGTGGTGTGGGATGGGGGTGCGGGGGACAGGCAGCAGGGCAGGCTGTGGGGTTGGCACGATCGGTGCATGCGCTGGTGAACATTGTGAACCCCTGCCCACCTGCCTCGCACACAGCGTCGCCCCATTTGGCCTGCCCCCCGCCTGCCCGTGCGCGCAGGTCCAGGAGAAGAAGGCGTTCAACGATCGCGGGCAGCGCCAGCTCAGCCTGGTGTCGGGCGATGTGTGGTACTCGCAGCAGGCCTTCCGCGCGCTCAACCAGGTGGGCTGTGTGCGTGTGGTGTGTGTGTGGTGTGTGGGGGGCCACGGTGTGTGGGGGGGGCGGGTGGGGATGGGTGGGTGTGTAGCTCGAGTGCCGGCGGCGCTTGTTGCAAGCGGCAGCTCCGGAGGGGGATCCCGCTTTGCTGCCGCCGCTGCAGCCATCCGGCCTCCCTGCCCCCCGC